ATTAAATTGCAACAAGTGATTTAAACAATTTAAATAATGTACAATCATAAATCTACAGATACTCATGGTATCAATACTCATTTATTTTACTTTATCTTTCAGTATAGGGATGGGGAGCCTCAGAGCAGAGGCATATGCACCAAACCCTTCCAGTCTTAGGGCCCCCCAGAATTGGGCTGCAAAAAACTGCTGAGGAAAAAAAATCCAACCTTCATCTGAGCAAGTGACCTCTCTCATTACAGTGACAGCTCCACTCCAACCAGTCCTCAGCATAGAGAGATAGTATTGTGGCATTTGTGCATCAACATTTGCATGTTTTAGGTTTATAATCCAACAAGGGTTAACAATCCTTAGAAATGTTTAGCAAGTGTGCTCCTTTGTAGATTTGGAAAGTTATTCTAGATTATTTCATGAGTTTTATATGTCCATAACATATAAAATTATTAGCTTTATTTCAGTGTTGCATATTATAGGAACCCTTTCAACCCATGTATTCATGGTATACAAACCATGTATTATTATTTAGGGATCCAAGTGAATTGTTGTTTGGTCAACAAATCATAGTTAAAACAAGCCTGGCTAAAACACGATGCTTTGAACCAGTCATTATATCTTTCCAAGGCTGAGTTATGTCCCCACACCTTACCTTTTTCAGAGTCACATTAAAAGGTCTATTTTATTGTATTGGCTGTTTTTAAGGTCTGCATCTTGTTAACCTTTCTCTGTATGTTCCTAGGAGGTTCTTTTGTTTCAGATTAATTTCCAAATATATTTATTCATGTTTTATATGTTTTATTGTTGTTAATAATATTGTACTAAATAGTAGTGATAAAACTTAATTTCTGTTTTACATGTTTAATCATTTTCATGATATATTTCCATAAGGTTCTCTGAAATATCAATATGATTTTACATTTCTGACATCTATATAATGCTTTGATTTTTCCATGTTTCAGCTTTTTATTTTGCAAATATTGGAACTGTTTGTGAGTATTTGAATAGGAATAGTTGAATAGGAAGAGGATACAAAGTAAGAAGTGTAAAAATAAGATGATTGAATTACAAAGTCAGGTTTTGATAGCATTGAACTTCTTACTTGAAGAATTAAATGATGTTGTTCTGGGGGACTTGATATTGGCTTTTTATTTTTACAAATAACCAATTGATGTTATTGGATCTCTTAAAATTCTCACCATAAGATTTCATATCCTTCTTAGTAGATTAATTACAACTGTACAAATTCTTGGAAGACATACTTCATAATTACTTCTCTTTTGGTAGCAGAGTTCGTTCCAGATATCATGTAGCCTTGTTCTTCAGAATTGAAGTTTGCAATAGGAACCCTAAAGCTATATCTCAAGATGAGAAAATGGGGCAGAAAAGTTAATGGAAAAGTTCCATTAACTTCTTGTAGAAGTCCCCCTAATGATACTGGTAAATCAATAATGTAAAGAAGACATTCATTTTAATTGACTCAAAAAAAGTAAGCCTTTATTTGGAAGATAAGAAAAAATATTGTGGTATACTTCTATACATTAAATGTGTAACTGGATTTTTATAAATTTTGATGATATTTCTTCAGAGTTCATCAAATTGAATCAGTATAATTCAGATAATAATATCTAGACCTCAGTGTGAAATGTATTATTTCAGTGCTTCTGCCAAAGATTTTTGATATGGAATTTGCAATTTGCAATTTTAATAGATTTGTATGCCGCCCAATCCTGAAGGACTCCGGGTGGCTTACATAAAAGCAATTTTAAAAATATTTAAAAAGATTAAAACACAAGACAGAACAACTTAAAAACAAAAAACACAACATGCACTCAGTTTTAATGGGACTGAAGTTCAGTCAAGATCAACAGCCCCAGGCCTGCCGGAACAGCCAGGTCTTAACAGACTTACGGAAGGCCAGGAGAGTGGGGAGGGTCCAGATCTCAAGGGGTAGTTTGTTCCAAAGGCCCGGGGCAGCAACAGAGAAGGCTCTCCCCCGAGGAGCCACCAAACGGCACTGCGTAGCTGACGGTACCCGGAGAAGGCCCGCCCTGTGTGATCTGATTGGGTGCTGGGCGGTATGTTGCAGGACGCGGTCACGGAGATATCCAGGTCCTAGGCCATGTAGGGCTTTATAGGTAATAACCAGCACCTTGAAGCGTGTCCAGAGACTGATGGGAAGCCAGTGCAGCTCACGGAGGATAGGTGTAACATGGGTGTACCTAGGTACACCCAGTATCGCTCACTCAGCTGCATTCTGGACCAATTGTAGTCTCCAAACCCTCTTCAGGGGCAGCCCCATGTAGAGCGCATTACACTAGTCAAGCCTTGAGGTGACGAGGGCATGAGTGATCATTTGGAGTGCCTC